GAGCGCACGCGCCCTATAGCGAAAGCCTCTCAAAAAGATAAATAAATAAATAAATAAATAAATCAAAGAAAACAAAAGAAAAAAGGGACCAGAGACTAGACATGGATTCTCAGGGTTGGAGGCGGGGTGACAGAGAAGTGAAGATGGGGGGCAGTGGCAGTGCTGTGCTGTGGCAGCCCCACCGGGTTCCATCTGAAGGCCTCCCTGAGCACCCACACATGGGCTTGCCCACATCCAGCTGGCTGGGTGTGGGGGCGGATCACCGCACTGACGCCTGGTGGAGGTGTTGTCACTCTCACTCATGGAAAAGGTGGAAAAAAAACCCACAAAACATGGGTACCCAGGGTCTCCTGGAGCACACAGGGCCCATTCACTTTTCAAGGGGCTCAGGTTAAAGGCAGTCAAACATGTCCAGTGCCCCAACAGGGATCAGACCCAGGGAAACTGCTCTGGGGCAAGGCCGGGACCGGAAAGCAAATGCAGTACCAGGAACTGTCTTCGGGCCCCGCCCCCACTCCTAAGTCTGAGGAGTTGATTTCAGAGCTCAACAATAAACTGAATTAAGTGTAATTACAGCCCTGATCCACCAGTTCTCTCTGTATCCTCCCGAGTGGGGGTGGGGAGTGGTCCCAGACTGGGCCCAAATGCTCCCCTTGCCTGCCCCCTGGCTTTCTGACAGCCCTGGGCCTCTGAGGAACTGCTGCTCCCTGGGGATCTGGAAACAGCCCCTGCTGTGGGGGAGGACCTGGGTCCCAGTCACGTGACCACGGAGGTGAGAATTTGGCAAGGCCCAGCAGAGGCTCCGGAGACTGGACACTGGGCACGAGCCCTCAGGATAGGGATTGAAGGAAGTCTTCTAAACCACTGATGCTGAAATAAGACTTTAATGTGCACAAAGAGACCTCACATTAGTGACAGAGAGAGGAAGGAGGGTGGGGAGAACTGAGGCCCGGCAGGGCCCAGGAGGCCCAGGGAAACCAGAGCTATGGAGACAAAGGCCTCTGGGAAGAGGAGATGGCTGAAGGGTGCAGGAAAGCTGGGGGAGGGGGGGCTAAGAGGGGAGAGGCTATCCCTGGCAGGAGGGTCGGGGCAGTGGTGACAGCAGGCTCTTTATCCGGCAGGCTGGATGGCAGCTGGGCCTCTTCAGACCTTGATTCTTCACCACCCCCAGTTCCAGAGTTCTGCTCACTTCCGGCCAGAGCCAAGAGCCGGGGCCACCCTATCCAGCGTGTTTAGATATCTTTCCAGGGGCTGAAGTACTGGGCCTGTGGGGAGGAGAAATGCGGCTACACAGCCTGGGCCAGGTCCTGCCCACTGTCCTGGGCCTCCCTGGGCACCCGGTGCCCACCACGGATGCCTTCACGCCACGCACTGAGCAATCAAGCCGCCTGGGGCTCCAGGTCCAGGCGAGGATGTGGCAGGGCGCTAGGCCGCCCGACCACAGTGCCGCCAGTGCCTTGCTGAGGTCCCTCTGCTCCTGCCTGGGGGCCCGGGGAGCATGATAGAAGGTGGAGCGTGCACCCTGGCCCCTCCGGCCATAATTCCCTCTTCCTTCTTTCCATGACAAACGCACTGCTTCCCACCAGAGCCCAGTGTGGTCTAGCTCCTCAGGGACTGAGGGTGAGCTCTGCTCGCCAGCCTTTTTCTGAGACTTGTGAAATCTGAGACCCAAGCCACAGCCTGTGGCCAATGGCAACCCCAAGTCAGAGGTTACAGGGGGAGGATGAGAGAGAGAGGAGTCAGAGGAGAGGTAAGTTGAGAACCATGGGGCACTGGCCAGCGGGCTGGGAAATGGTTCTGCCAGTCCAGGCTCGGCTCCTTCAAGGGCTGGGGGCTCAGGAAGGGAAGGGCCTGCGCAGCCCGCTGGTGCTGGGTGGTGGAGACTAGGTCAGAAGGGAGGTGCCATGGCAGGGACTGGACTGTGCTTAGGCAGCAGGCCTGGAAGTCAGCTGGCTCTGGGCCCTGATTCTGACATTCACAAGTCTTTCTGCAGGACGGGACAAGCCCTTTAACCTCGCAGGGCTCAGGTTAGCGCTGCTCATCTGTAAAATGGGCTCCCCACCCCTCCCTCGTGGGGCTTATGTGGGTTCCTGTAGAAACAGGCCTTTATTCGTAAAGATCAGCTACGTATTTCTGTCCCTATCAGATGGTGGAAGTTGCTGCTACGTAAAGCAGAGGGGACCAGGGCAGCCTGGGAGCATTCCTCTGAACAGAGTGGGAGAACGGCCTCAAGCCTGCAGGACAAGTGGGCAGAGGGTAGACAGCTGGTAGCTCTGGCACCCCTTCCTGGCATTGCTCTTGACAAACTGGTAGTCCTGGCCCAGGCTCGCCCTCTCCGAGGCTGCTTTTCTTTGTATTGGCTTGGAGGGGGCTGCTCGGCGCCCCTCCCCACCTCACCCTTGGCATTGGACTACAGGGTGATGAGGTCCTAGAGGCATCTCCCTTCCCCCACCCCAGCCTGCCTGCCACACACTAGTCCTGGCCAGGGGCTCCGCAGCTGCGATGGGGGTGGACACACTGCTGCTGGCTCTGGCTAGCCTGGCCTGACCTCTTCCCTCCCCTCACCCCAGGTCTGGGCACGGGGGCCGGGGGGCACCACCTGGGGCTGGCAGTGGGCTAGCAGCTCCTGCCAGCGGATGTAGGTCTGGGCAGCCAGGTCCTTGAGCTTGGTCCGGTGCATGGCCTGGGGGCTCTCCCGGATGTGGGTGCTGATGTGGCGGTCCAGCTGCATGCACAGCAGCTGCAGCTCGCCCTGCAGAGGGAGTTGTGGGGAGGGCATGGCACAGCATGGGCCAAGTCCATCCCAAGAGAGGGAAGAGGGAGAGCCAAGTCAGAGAAAGGGAGGGACACGTTTGAGTGACTGCTCCGAAGTTGGGCAGGAAAGGGAGGAGAGGGCCAGGGCGACTGCTGGGGGCACAGGCCAGTGTCCCTGGGAACAGCTCGGGGGACGCTGGGGAAAGGGCAAGGCTCTGGCTCCACAAGGCTGTCTTCTTCCTCGGTCTCCCACTGTCCACATCCTGGAGGCAGCTGGGCTCCGTCCTGGCCCTCCCCACTCTCTTGGCATAGAAGGAACAGCTGGGCACACCACCCTGCTCCACCCCGGCCTCTTGGGAGACTCACCCACTGGTCTGGAGTCAGGTCCTGGCAGCTGACCACCACCCCAGCCAGGATCAGGAGGCTGTGGCACAGGTAGCAGACCTGGAGACGCAGGAAGGGGCACTACTTAACTCCACGCCACCCGCAGGCTCTTGGCTCTCTGGGCTTGCAGCCCCGGGGCCAGGGTGATGAGACTCAGCCCACCTTTAGACCCTTGCCCAGGTCCTGGGGGGGATATCTTCAAGGAGGGCCTGGGTGAGCATGGCTCTGTGCCCAACTCATCCAGAGCTTGACCACCACCATCCGCGCACCCAGCTGGCCCTCCCAGCCTTCCCTCTGATGAAGGTGGTGTTTCCCTTCCTTCAATCAATGACCTGTGCCAGCCAGAACCCCACCATCCCCAGCCTTGTCCTGGGCTCCAGCAGAGAAAGCTTGCTGGGCAGAGGGGTCTGTCCACTCTGGCCTCTGTGCACCCTGCCCCCTGAGATACCCACACCTGTGGGCACTAGCCACTAGCCCCTTGCATGCCTCTGTGCAAACAGAGCCCAGTCAGGGGTCCACAGCTCCCAGAATCTGCTCGGCCCTCAGTGGACGGACACACACACACACGCACATGCGCAGCCCCGCCTGGACAAACCATGCTGACACGGGGAGGCAGGTGGAGAGGGGGGCAGGTGGGCGGTGGTTTGGGCTGCGCACCTGCGTGCCTTCCCACCAACTCGTCCTCACTCACAGCCACAGACAGTCCTCTGTTGGTACCCACACTATGGGACATTGGCTTGCTACAAGGAAAAAATGGAGGGGAGAGTGTCTCAAGGACAGACCAGGCTCCTGATGGGAGACAGCCCACTCCTGCACTCTGATCCCGACCTTCATGCTCCCCTGTCCCCTCCAGGGGCCTTATCTCTCAGATAAGGGTCGAGAACCATCTCTCCATATGCCTGAGGGAGACAGCCCGAGAGTGAGCTGGGATGAGATCCCAGAGATGGCCCTCAGGCCCCCTCAGTGATAATGGCTCTGGCTTCCCCTGGCATCCCCCCTCCCCCCTTCCTATCCTGCCTTGTTTTATTTTTCAAAGACTTATTTTATTTAACTTTATCCATTTATTTATGTATTTTAATTTGACCAGAGAGGGGGAGGGAGAGAGAGAGAAAGTGAAAGAGAGAGTGAAAGCAAGCCACCAGGTCCAGGACTCGAATCGCGGTCAGCCATGTTTGACTCCAGTGCTCTTAACCACCATGCCACCTGCCGGTCCGCCATCCTGCCCTCTTAAGAGCACCAGGCAGTACCCAAGAAAGAGCAGCAGTCTCTTTGCACAGACCCAAGAGTTTGCTTAGGACAAGCCAGAACCATTTCTTTTTCTTTTTCTTTCTTTCTTTCTTTCTTTCTTTCTTTCTTTCTTTCTTTCTTTCTTTCTTTCTTTCTTTCTTTCTTTCTTTTTT